AAAAGAAAAATAAAATACCTGGGAATAAACCTAACCAAATCGGTAAAAGACCTGTATTGAGAAAACTACATAACACTGAAGGAAGAAACCAAGAAAGACACAAATAAATGGAAACATATACCTTGTTCATGTATTGGAAGAATTAACATCATCAAAATGTCCATATTGTCCAAAGCAATTTACACATTCAATGCAATACCTATTAAAGTACCAATGGCATATTTTACAGATGTAGAACAAGCACATCAAAAATGTATATGGAACCATAAACAACCCCGAATAGCTGTTGCAATTTTGAGAAAGAAGTGCAAAGTAGGAGGAATCACAATACCTGATACTAAACTGTATTACAATGCCACTTTAATCTAAACAGCCTGGTACTGGCATAAAAACAGGCACATGGACCAATGGAATAGAACAGAGAACCCAGAAATAAACCCAAGTCTCTATGGTCAATTAATATTTGACAAAGCAGACAGCAACATAAGATGGGGTAACAATAGCCTCTTCAACAAATGGTGTTGGGAGAACTGGACAGCTACGTGCAAAAATATGAAACTCAAGCACCAACTTACACCATACACAAAAATAAATTCAAGGTGGATAAAGGATTTAAATATAAGCCATGACACTATTAAAGTCCTAGAGGAGAACATAGGCAGGAAAATATCAAATATTTCACACAGCAACATTTTTATTGATATATCCCCTAGAGCAAGGGACATAAAGGAAAGAATAAACAAATGGGATCTCATCAAAATAAAAACTTCTGCACTGCTAAAGAAAACGGTATTAAGATAAAAAGAACCAACTGTAGTGGAAAACATATTTGCCAATGACACCTCAGACAAGGGTTTGATCTCCAATATAAATAAAGAACTCACATGACTTCACTTAAGAAGACAAGCAACCCAATTAAAAAATGGGCAAAGGACTTGAACAGACACTTCTCCAAGGAGGACATACAGAGGATCCAGAGACACATGAAAAAATGCTCAATATCGTTAGCTATCAGAGATGCAAATTAAAACCACAATGACATACCACTTAACACAGGTCAGAATGGCCATCATAAGCAAAGCAACAAACAACAAGTATTGGAGAGGTTGTGGAGAAAAGGGAACCCTAGTGCACTGTTGGTGGGATTGCAGACTGGTACGACCACTATGGAAAACAGTATGGAAATTCCTCAGAAAACTAAAAATGGATCTGCCTTTTGACCCAGCAATTCCACTGCTGGGATTATATCCTAAGAACCTTGAAACACCAATCCAGAAGAACCTATGCACCCCAATATTCATAGCAGCACAATTTACAATAGCCAAGTGCTAAAAGCACTCTAAGTGCCCATCAGTAAATGAATGGATCAAAAACTATGGTACATTTACACAATAGAATTCTATGCAGCAGAAAGAAAGAAGGAGCTCCTACCCTTTGCAACAGCATGGATGGAGCTGGAAGGCATTATGCTAAGCAAAATAAGCCAAGAGGCGAATGACAAATACCATATGATCTCACCTTTAACAGGAACCTAAACAACAAAACAAAGAAAGAAGCAAAATATAGGCAAAGACACTGAAACAGAGAACAGGCTGACAGTGACCAGAAGGGAGAGGGAAGGGAATTTCAGGGGAGAATGGGAAGCGTTTATAGGAACAACTATAAAGGACAAATGGACAAAACTAGGGTGTGGGGTGGAAATGAGAGGCAGGTGGGAGGAGTGGGTGGGAGGGCTGGGATGGGAGTAAAGGACAGAAAACTGTACTTGGACAATGATTAAAATTTTTTAAAAGATGTATATCATCAGTAGTTATTGGAAAATGCCAATTGAAACCACAATGAAATACCACTTTATACCCACTAGAATGGTCACAATGTACAAGAAAAATTAAAAAAAAAACACAAGAAAAATGTAGGATAATGTAGAGAATTTGGAACCCTACTATATTAACATAGAAATTCAAGCTTTGTTAGCTACTTTGGAAAGCAGTTTGGCACTTCTGCAAAAAGTTAAACTTAAAGTTTCCATATTATTAAGCAGTTCTACTCCTAGGTATGTACCCAAAATATTGAAAAGCATATGTTTATAAAAATTTTGTATAGCCTGGCTAGGTGGCTCAGCTGGTTGGAGTGTCATCCCAAACACCAAAAACTTATGGGTTCAATTCCCAGTCAGGGAATGTAACTAGGTTGAGGTTCAATCCCTAGTCAGGGCACATATGGAAGGCAATCAATTGATGTTTCTTTTTTTAATTGTTCAAGTACAGTTTCCTCCATTTGCCTCCCACCACTCTCCCCCACCCCACCCAAGCCGAAGTCTCACCCTCAATCCTTGCCCCCTTTGTCTTTGTCCATGGGTCCTTTATACATATTCATTGATGACCCCTCCCCTTCTCTCCTATGTTATGCCTCTCCCCTTTCCCCTCTGGTTATTGTCAGTTTGTTCTTTATTTCAATGTCTCTGGGTATATTTTACTAGCTTGTTTGTTTTGTTGATTAGGTTCCACTTATAGATGAGATCATATGGTATTTGTCTTTCATCACCTGGCTTATTTCGCTTAGAATAATGCTCTCCAGTTCCATTTATGCTTTCTTGAAGAGTAGAACCTCCTCCTTTCTTTCTGCTGTGTAGTATTTCACTGTGTAAGTGTACCGCAGTTTTTGATCCACTCATTTACTCATGGGCTCTCAGGTAGCTTCTAGCACTTGGCTATTGTAAATTGTGCTTCTATGAACATTGGGGTGCATAGATTCTTTCGAATTTGTGTTTCAGGATTCTTAGAGTATGTTCCCAGCAGTGGAATTGACAGGTCAAATGGTATTTCCATTTTTAGTTTTCTGAGGAAATTCCATACTGTTTTCCACAGTGGCTGCACCGGTCTGTATTCCCACAAAGAGTGCAGTAGGGTTCCCTTTTCTCCACAACCTCAGAGGCACTTGTTTGTTGAGTTGCTTAATAGGGCCATTCTGACAGGTGTGAAGTGGTATCTCATTGTGTTTTTTTCCATTTAAAAAAATGTTATTGTTGTTCAAGTACAGTTTTTACAGACATTGAAATTAAGAACAAATGGACAATAACCAGAAGGGAGATGGGGGGAATAATATGGGGGGGGAAAGGTGAAGGTTTTCCAGGAACAACTGTAAAGGACATATGGACAAAACCAAGATGGGGAGGAAGCAGGGGAGGGAGGTGGAGATGGCTGGGGTTGGGGGGAGAGAAGAGGGAAAAGGCAGAAAACTGTACTTGAACAAAAATAAAATTTATGGTGTTGCAAGTTATATTTAAAACTTTTATCCATCTTGAGTTTATTTTTGTGTATGGTGTAGGTTGGTGGCTGAGTTTCATTTTTTTGCATGTAGTTGTCCAGATGTCCCAACACCATTTGTTGAAGAGACTGTTTTTCTGCCCCCCTTGTCAAATATTCATTGACCATGGAGATATGGGTTTATTGCTGGGCTCTCTATTCTGTTCCATTGATCTATGTGTCTGGTTTTGTTTTTTTTTTTTTTGGCCGGTACCAGACTGTCTTGATTATCGTGGCCTTTTAATATAGTTTTATATCATCTATTTTGACCCCTCCAACTTTGTTCTTCTTTCTCAAAATTGCTGTGGCTATTCGGGGTCATTTATGGTTCCATATAAATGTTTGAAATGCTTGTTCTATGTCTGTGAGATATTATTGGTATTTTAAAAGTCATTGCATTGAATCTATAAATTGCTTTGGACAGTATGGGCATTTTGATGATGTTAAATCTTCCAATCCATGAATACAGTATATACTTCTATTTATTAGTGTTTTCCTTAAATTTTTTTCTTCAGTCTTGTGTAGTTTTCTGAGTACAGATCTTTTACTTCCTTGGTTAGGTTTATTCTTAGGCACTTTATTTTTCTTCTTATTACAGCAAATAGGATTTTTTTCCTGGCCCCTGTTTCTGATATTTCTTGGTTGGTTTACAAAAATTGCCTTATATTGTTTAATATTAACTTTGTATCTCACTGTTTTGCCAAATTCACTTATTAGGTCTAGTAATTTTTTGGTGGAGTCTATATGGTTTTCTATGTACACTATCATGCCATCTGCTAAAAATGACATTTACTTCCTCCTTTCCAATTTGGATGCCTTTTATTTCTTTTTCTTGTCTGTTCACTATGATTAGGACTTCCAATATTATGTTGAATGGAAGTGGGGGGAGCAGACATCCTTGTCTTGTTCCTGATCTTAGTGGGAAAGCTTTTAGTTTTTTTCCCAATTAGTATGATGTTGGCTGTGGTTTCTCATATATGGCCTTTATTATGTTGACTTATGCTACCTCTACTCCCACTTTGCTGAATGTTTTTATCATAAATCTGTGCTATACCTTATCAAATGCTCTTTCTGCATCTATTGATATGACCTGTGATTTTTCTCTTTCTTTTTGTTTATGTCAATTGATGTTTCTCTCTCACATCATTGTTCCTCTCTGTCTTTCTTTCTCTCTCTCCCCATTCCTCTCTTTCTAAAATCAAAAAGACATATCCAGGACTCCTGGCCAAGATGGAGGTGTAGGTAGACACACTGTGCCTCCTCACACAAGCAAAATAAGAACAACAACAATTTAGAAGCAAAAAACAACCAGTACTGACAGAAAATTGAACTGTATGGAAGTCTGACAACCAAGGAGTTAAAGTAGACACATTCATCCAGAGGGGCAGAGTCATATTTTTCTTTCTCTAACTGGCTTATTTCACTTAGCGTAATGTTTTCTTTTCTGTAAAATAAACAAAGTATTTATTGAAGTTGTCTGTGAAGTATAGATGAGGAAACAACTGGAAAGCACTGGACCAAATCACATAATTTATTGTGAATAGAATTGAGATACTAAAGGTTGGTGAGACGGTCTTATGCATCCAAAACACTACTCACTTGATATCACTGCATTGACATTATATTTATTTGAAAACAATCAGTAAATAAGATTGTGTCTCTCCTGGAATGCCATGATAAAGCAAGTTATTCAGGATGGTTCGAGAAAACCTGACTTTCAACTTCATCCTGCTAGGGATCTTTGATCACAGCCCCACCAACATCTTCCTCTTCTCTCTGGTTTTGAGCATCAGTGGCCTTCATGGGAAACACTATCATGATTCTCCTCATCTACGTAGACACCCAGCTCCACACCCTCATGTACTTCCTTCTTAGTCAACTGTCCTTCATGGACCTCATACTCACCTGCATCACTGTACCCAAAATGGCCTTCAACGTCTTGTCTGGCAGCAAATCCATTTCTCTGGCCAGTTGTAGAGCCCAGATATTCTTCTATGTTTCTCTGGTTGGAGCTGAATGTTTCCTGTTGGCTATAATGGCCTATGATTGCTATGTGGCTATATGCCACTTTCTTTGATATTCCATCCTTAAGAATCAGAAACTCTGTGTCCTCCTGACTGTTGTTTCCTGGATCTTGGGTTGTCTTCGTGGCATCATTGTGTTTGCAGTAGCCCTGTCCTTTTCTTACTGCAGGTCTGTGGAAGTTCATCACTTTTTCTGTGATGTTGCTGCCCTTTTACCTTTATCTTGCATAGACACTTTTGCATTTGAAAAACTGCTTTTCATCTGCTGTGTGGTGATGCTAATTTTCCCATCCTCAGTTAACATTTTCTCCTACTCCAGAGTCCTGCAGTCTATCCTTCACATGAGCTCTGTGGAAACTTGCAGCAAAGCCTTTATTTTACCACCTGCTCCTCCCACCTGTCCATTGTTGGACTCTACTATGGTGCTTCCATGTTCATGTACATGAGACCAGCCTCTAACTGTACTCCAGACCAGGACAAGATGGTGTCAGCTTTCTATACCATTTTAACTCCCATGCTAGACCCTTTTATCTACAGTCTCCACAACAAAGAGGCATCCAGAGGACTTCAAATATTATTGAGGAAAGAAAAATTAACGTAGCTTCAAAAACTGTAGCATCCACTCTTGTCAACATTCCTTCATAGAATCTGGAAACCCTTGTCAACTTTTTACAAATTTAAAATCTCTTTACTTAGTATAAAATTATACAGGCACTATGGGTAAAGTGGGCTGCATTTGAACATTAGCATAGGTTGCTTCACTCTGTAAATTTCAATTGTGTAACTGGTTGTTAGCCATGATTACTTGACTTTAGGATGCTTGTCTTTCAACCCAGGTATAAGTCTACTGATCTTTTCTTTATCCAACAAAATGGTTTGCAATAGAGCCATTGCTATCAGTGAGCCTCCTCTTTGTTTAAGTCAGTATTTGTCTTCAGTTTTACCTTTCCTTGAACCTGTGTATTGACCCTTTTATTCCTGACTCTTCTCTACTTAATTCCCATGCATTCAGAAGCAGGAAATTAGTGTTGGCGGTTCCTTAAATAAAGTCTTATTTCTCTCTAAAGACAGGAGGGGGTCAGGGGCAGTGTGGAGGTGGGCAAATGGGAGGAAAAAGTTTTAAAAATTTCTACATATTTTTACCTTTCAGATTTAAGTGCATATTTTACCTAACAAAGGATCTAGTTAGGCTACACAACCTTCATCTTTGACATGAATATTTTATCTCCTACTAATCTTTGTATTAACAACTAGAGTCAATTTGAAGGTATTAGAATACTATCATTTTCTGAATATAATAATCATGATTTCGTAATACAACTCTGAAGAATTGATATGCTACAAAAATTGGGGAAAAAGTTTTCTTGATGAGAATTCATGATCTGTAAATATCTCACAACAATTGCTTTAATACTCCATAGAGTACCCACACTTTAACATAACCATTGTTATTAACTTATTGTAGTTTGTATAAGTTGATCATCTACATCCTTGAAATTGAAAGCAATCTTTGCTTGATTCACAGATATTACCTTAATTTCTGTATACATTATTTTATGCCAACCTTCACTTTGTAATGTATTATTACTCTATAAATGCATGTTTAGACTGAAACCAGTCCTTGTGCTTTAATGATATGCACCATTGGTTATAATCTGTTGCATCTTTTACCAAAATAGCAAAATTTTGGAATAAGTAGAATATGCTCAGTAAGTTTACATATTTATGTGTGTGTGTGTGTATGTGAAATATACACATAAACATGTGTATTTTACATACAAGGAAATTCAACATTTTAATATACAGAGTTTGGTGATTTTAATAGATTCACAGATGTGTACAAGCATTAATATAATTCCAAACATTTTTACCTTCCCCCCAAAAGCATACCCATACCCACTAACTTTCATTTCTCATTTTCTTCTGCCCAACACTTAAATTAGTGATTTTTCCTTGGTGTTTTGCCTATTTAGGACATTGCATAATGGGGAAAAATAGCGGAAGGTCCATCAAGGAAGATGTATAAAGGACACATGGAGAAAGCCAAAGGGGGTAGGATCAAGGGTGGGAGGTGAGGATGGGTGGGGCAGGGGCTGAGGTAGAGTGAAAATGGAGAAAACTGTACTTGAACAACAATATGAAAAATGGAATCAAAGCCCTGGCTGGCGTAGCTCAGTGGATTGAGTACGGGCTGTGAACCAAAGTGTCGCAGGTTCGAGTCCCAGTCAGGGTACATGCCTGGGTTGCAGGCCATGACTCCCAGCAACCGCACATTGATGTTTCTCTCTCTCTATCTCCCTCCCTTCCCTCTCTAAAAATAAATAAATAAAATCTTTAAACAAATGGAATCATATAATATATGTGATATTTTGTGACTGACTTTTCTCACTTAACATAATGTTTTTAAGGTTCATGTTGAAGCATGCATCAGTATTTAATTTGTTTATATTAATAAATAATATTCCATTGCAAAGTGCCATATTTTGTTTATCCACTCAACAATTGATAGATATTTTGGTGTTTCATTATACTTTACAAACATTTTTTTAATCCCCACATGAGGATATGTCTTTTTTAAATATATTTTATGGGTTATTTTATTACAGTTGTCCCATTTCCCCCCTTCACTCCCCTGCACCCTGCATACCCCCTCCCACCTACATTCCCCCCTTTAGTTCATGTCCATGTGTCATACTTCTAAGTTCTTTAGCTTCTACATTTCCCATACTATTCTTGCCCTCCCCCGTCTATTTTCTACCTATTGTCAATGCTACTTATTCTCAATACCTTTTCCCCCTCTCTCCTCCTCCCACTCACCTGTTGCTAACCCTCCATGTGTTCTCCATTTCTGTGGTTCTGCTCCTGTTCTAGTTGTTTGTTTAGTTTGTTTTTGTTGTTGTTTTTGTTTTAGGTGTGGTTGTTTGTTGCGCGTGGGTCACCGGCCAGCAGTGACCACGGAACGCTGTGGATGGCTCGACGATAAACACGCGAGAAAAAACACCACATGCACAGAGACAAACTAGTTTCTGTGGGGAAGTAGGGACAGAAATGGCCACCCCTTCTAGTGAGGAGCGCGCCGATTTACAGTCCATACCTGCTTTTATTGGGCTCCTGCTGCATAATAACTCAGGTAAAGTACAGTACTCATTAGGGGAAGTAAGGAACTATAGAAAACAAAGAACTCTGCCGGTCTATTGAGTTGGGGGTCAAAGAGCTGTAAGACTGAGGAACAAACTAACTTCCTCCTAAGACCCTTCTCATTCAACTGAGAGCATTCTAAACAAAGAAGGTTTCACAGTAATTTACATGTTCTTTCTTAGGCCTGATCACCCCGGGAAATCCGCACTTCTCAGTACCGAGCTGTACTACCCTGTCATTGTTTCAGGCTTAGGTGGAGCAAGGGAACTAAGGCCACCGAGAGATAAGGAGATTTTCTTCCGGACGCTGAGAACTCAGACTTTGTCAAAGCCGAGGAGTGAGGGTCCATCACCCCCCTTTTGCTGCAGCCCCCCAAGTCCTTCTTTTGGGGGGGCCTCCCAAAAGTGATCGTGCCTGGCTTAGGTCGTTCCCCCGTGGGGAATCTTACCCGTCTTTGGCTAACCGACCAAGCTTTTTGGGGGTTCAGTCATGAATAAAGCAGCAGAAGCAGCATTCCTGCCAGGAAGATAAGCTTTTGTCTCCTTGCTGGCTTACGGTTCCAAGGGCGTTCCCTTAGCCTTAGCTAGGCGGGGGTTTCAGCTTCTGATACCAGTCAGGGCGGTTCCCAACAGTTGTTGATAACTGTGAGTTTGCTGTCATTTTAAAAAAATATATTCTATTGATTATGCTATTACAGTTGTCCCATTGCCCCCTCTTCATTCCCATCCACCCTGCACAATCTCTCCCACCCACATTCCCCACTTTACTTCATGCCCATGTGTCATAAGTTCTTTAGCTTCTACATTTCCCATACCATTCTTGCCCTCACCCTGTCTAATTTCTACCTACCATCTATGCTACTTATTTTCTGTACCTTTTCCCCCTCTCTCCTCCTCCCACTCCCCTGTTGATAACCCTCCATGTGATCTCCATCTCTGTGGTTCTGTTCCTGTTCTAGTTGTTTGCTTAGTTTCTTTTGGTTTTGTTTCAGGTGTGGTTGTTAATAATTGTGAGTTTGCTGTCATTTTACTATACATGATTTTTTTATTTTCTTTTCTTAGATAAGTCCCTTTAACATTTCACATAATAAGGGTTTGGTGATGATGAACTCCTTTAACTTGACCTTATCTGAGAAGCACTTTATCTGCCCTTCCATTCTAAATGAAAGCTTTGCTGGATAGAGCAATCTTGGATGTAGGTCCTTGCCTTTCATGACTTGGAATACTTCTTTCCAGCCCCTTCTTGCCTGCAAGGTCTCTTTTGAGAAATCAGCTGACAGTCTAGTCTGATGGGAATTCCTTTGTAGGTTACTGTCTCCTTATCTCTTGCTGCTTCTAGGATTCTCTCCTTCATTTTTACCTTGGCTAATGTAATTATGATGTGCCTTGGTGTGTTCCTCCTTGGGTCCAGCTTCTTTGGGACTCTCTGAGCTTCCTGGACTTCCTGGAAGTCTATTTCCTTTGTCAGATTGGGGAAGTTCTCCTTTATTATTTATTCAATAAGTTTTCCACTTGTTGCTCTTCCTCTTCCCCTTCTGGTACCCCTATAACTCGGACGTTGGAACATTTAAAGTTGCCCTGAGAAGGTTCCTAAGCCTCTCCTCATTTTTTTGAATTTTTATTTGTTCATTCTTTTCTGTGTGGTTGTTTCTTTCTTCCTTCTGGTCCACTCCATTGATGTGAGACGCAGCTTTCATTCATTCCATCACTATTGGTTCCCTGTGTATTTTTCTTCATTTCACTTATTGTAGCCTTCATTTTTTCATTTAATTTGTGACCAAAATCAACCAATTCTGTGGGCATCCTGATCATCAGTGTTTTGAACTGTGCAACTGATAGGTTGGCTAACTCTTGGTCGCCTAAAAGTATTGGTTCTGGGGCTTTCATTTGTTCTTCTGTTTGAGCCATCTTTTTTTGGGGGGGGGTGGGGTATGGTCACACCTGTTATGTATGAGGGGTGGAGCCTTAGCTGTTCATGGGGGTGGGGGCAACCCACATTGCTGGGTTGTGATACTGTATGTGGGGGTGGGGTCCGAGAGGAACCCTTTCCTGCAGAAAGGACTGAAGTCTGACACTTCCTCCAAGCAAACTGGGCCCTTCTGGTGCTAATTCCCATGTGGGTGGGCTTGTGCACCCTGTGGGTCTTTCCAACGACCTCTCCTGTGAGGCTTGGAGTCTCTCCCTGTGCCTCAACCCCCACAGGTGTTTTCAATCAGTGTCCCAAGGCTCTATTTCCCAGTGCTGGGGTCCTGGGCTGCGTGCAGTGCCTTGCTTCACAATCGCCACCTCGCTGGGTCTGTTGGTTGCCACCCCTCGACAGGGGTCTGCCAGCTGCCACTTGCATGCCCAGGGTCTGCCCACTGTGGTCTTGCGCACCTGGGATACCTTATGCACCAGGTCCCAACACTCTTTGTGCTGCGACCCCTCTCACCAGGCTGCCCAGCTCCGCCCCTCCTACTGGTCT